GGGTGTCATCTGATATGATACAAACCACTGCAGCGCAGTACCTGTAATACCTACAGCATGTTCTAATCGCTCTAATAGGATATTATGGTCAACAGTATCGAACGCTGCACTGAGGTCTAGCAGGACAAGCACAGAGATGAGTCCACTGTCAGAGGCCATAAGAAGATCATTTGTAACCTTCACTAAAGCTGTTTCTGTGCTGTGATGAGCTCTGAAACCTGACTGAAACTCTTCAAATAAACCTCTGCAGATGATCTGTTAGCTGTTTGACAACTACTCTTTCAAGGATGTTTGATATAAAGGAAGGTTGGAGATTGGCCTATAATTAGCTAAGACTGCTGGGTCTAGAGATGCTTTTTGAGTAAAGGTTTAACTACAGCCAGCTTGAAGGCCTGTGGTACATAGCCGATTATTAGAGATAGGTTGATCATATTTAAGATGGAAGAATTAATTAATGGCAGGACTTCTTTGAGCAGTTTTGTAGGAATGGGGTCTAAAAGACACGTTGATGGTTTGGAGGAAGTAATTATTGAAGTTAACTCAGAAAGATCAATTGGAGAAAAAGAGTCTAACTTAATATCAATGGTACTAAGAGTAGCTGTAGATAATATTACATCTGTGGGATGATTATTGGTAATTTTTTCTCTAATGATAAAAATTTTATTTGTGAAGAAGTTCATGAAGTCATTACTAGTTAACGTTAAAGGGATGTTTGGCTCAACAGAGCTCTGACTGTTTGTCAGCCTGGCTACAGTGCTGAAGAGAAACCTGGGGTTGTTCTTATTTTCTTCAATCAGTGATGAATAGTAAGATGTTCTGGCTTTGCGGAGGGCTTTCTTATAAAGCAGCAAACTATTTCTCCAGGCTAAATGATGATCCTCTAAATCTGTGACACGCCATTTCCTCTCCAGATTACGAGTCATCTGCTTTAGGCTACGTGTTTGAGAATTATACCACGGAGTCAGGTACTTCTGATTAGAGACCTTAGTTTTCACAGGAGCTACAGTATCCAGAGTCGTACGTAGTGAGGAGGTGAAATTATTAACAAGATAATCGACCTCTGTTGGGGTAGCGTTCAGATAGCTGCTCTGCTCTGTGTTGGTAATGCCCTGTATCAACACAGAGCAATCACCGAATAATAAACTTACAGAGATCTGCACTTGATGCTGCCATTATGACGGTTTACCCTGTCCGTTTTTTTGTTTTTGTTTTTTTTTCCCCTTCAAATGAGCAGGAAAAAAAATCTGCATGCCAAAATAAGACACCAACTATTTCTCCAGGCTAAATGATGATCTTCTAAATTTGTGACACACCATTTCCTCACGCCATGAATGTTAAAATCACCCACAATTATTTTATCTGAGCTGAGCACTAAATCAGATAAAGGCATGTGGTGACTCCATGGCTGCACAGGGTTTTAAAGTCCCTGCAGTTCAGACAATGCGGGGAAGCACTTTTACAATCTCCAAGCTTGGCTGCCAACATTTCCAGACAGATCAGTTGATGACAGCAGCACTTGTCATGAGGAACTGGAGGTACACTGAAACGTCACATTTTTATTTCTTTTTTGCAATAATAGTTACAGCACTGCAAACAGAAATGTTTTAAAAGTTTATGCAAACCAATATCTGACAGATGTGCTCAAAAATATTTGAGAAAGCGCATATATCAGTGTTTTTGGTAAATACAATAGTTCATAAATTTTGATAGAAAACAAAATAAAAGTTCAAAAGTCGTTGGAAAGAAGCAATAACAGACAGACCGTTGTATTTTCTGTTCAAGTTCACATCAGTTTTTTTGCCTATGAGGCAAAAATGAACTACAAAGTTATCTCTCAGTACCTGCATAAGAAAGCAAGCTCACTGCACACATCATTGTTCAGTATTTTTCTGCTATACTCTTTGTCTGCTGTAAAGCTGTTATGCTGGAGTTCTAGAATCGTTCTATATCGTTGCCCTGTACCTGTGCATGTGCAATGACAATAAAGTTGAATTCTATTCTATTCTAAATTGTTGTTGTAATCTATAGTTTGTTATTTTGGGTTAAAGTTGGATTTTGCATGTTGGGGCCCCAAGAGGCCTTGTAGCAGTGTGCTGGTGCTGGCCTTGTGGTTTACTGATGTTTGCCATTTTGCATCCTACAGTGTTAGTACATGTTCAGTTAACTATCATGGCTGCTTCCAATCCTGGAGCCAGTACACAGCTGGAGTATGAGTAGATGAACTAGTCTTTTACGCAAAGACACTTTGAACAAGAATACAGTGCAGTATATTGGTAACAGCTTGGTTGTTATAACAGAAATATGTAAATATGCCTGCAGAGTATTGCTTATATTGTGTTTCACTTCACTTTGTATAAATCATGAAAACTCTCACAGGGTGCTATTGATGTGTTGAACAAACATTTTGTGGAATTGTATACAATCACAAAATTATATTTGTTGTGAAGTGGACATAGCACTGGGTGATTAAAACGCAAAAAAAGAATGACGACAGACCTTTTTATGTTGAAAAAGAAAAACTACCAAAAACACCTTTAACTACTGTACCTTGTATCTTTTGAAGTATAGATAGCCGCTTTTACGAGGTGCAGTTAAAGGAGCCATAGATATGTAGCTATATATATATATATATAGCATATTGAACAGTGGAACATTAAAAATCCACTTCAGGCAGTTCAGCATTGTCTCGTGACGCTTTGTGCATAACGGTGCGTTCACACCGAACGCGATAGAGGCGGCCAGAGCGTCAGGTTTACATGTAAAGTCAATGGAAAGGCGCGATGACCCGCGATTGTGGCTCCCGCGAAAATTCGGAAGCAGATTTGCATCGCCAAAACGCCAAAACACGTGTCAGTGTAGCGCGTCTGGCGCGTTTGACTCGCAAAAAAAAAAACCACGCGTGTGAGTTTTTGTGTTGCATTTTGTGCACACACGCGTTAAGCGTCTACCGCTGGAGTTGGAAAAATCTGAACTCCAGCGTCAAATCGCGCCGCGACAACCAATCAGGAGCCTGGTGACGTGGCTGTTACCTAGTTCAAAGGGGCAGATCCAGCCAAAGCCCTTTATTCTTCAATAGAAGGAAGGCTAATCAATGCCGTAGCAAACAACTCGGAGCTGTACAACACCAGCTGCTTTCTGGACCGAGACAGGAATAAAAAGGACCGAGCTTGGAGGAAATATGTGAAGAGATCGGGCAACCTGGTAAGTTCATTCATTTCTCTTTTGAAAGTTTTTACTGACCCGGGGAAGCCGCACAAAAGCTAGCAAGCCACCGCTATTTTCCCACTGACGTACAAATACCGTTCTGCTTTTATGCATGTTGTCATTTAGGAATATATTTTATTGTTTATTAATAAACAGCACACAGTGGTCCCGCTGTTCATCCGTCACTGCTTCGCTTTTTCACTGATTTTTTTTTTTATTGCACAGTACAGCATTGCATTCTGCAGCCTGATTGACAAATCTCCTGCGCTTGCCAAATTTATCACGTTTGGTTTTGATAACCATCGCGTCCAATAGAAAAAACAGCACAAAAACACCCATAACTATGAGCCTCATTCGGAAATACACACCTGCACCGTGAGGGAAAAAGGCGCACGAAAGTGGCGGGCAGATGAAGACAAACCGCGGCATAATAATACTTTTACGTTTTGCAATCTACAAAGGTTTGCACTTTGAGAATCAGTTGTGAGAACTGTGACCAATGTTCATGTGTGTGTGGAAAAAAGTGTATAAAGTGCGTGACCAGGGGCTAGTTATTCTGAGAACCCCTGCAATAAATGAGGGACCACTGTCTACTCTACGATTATTATATCGAACCTGTTAACATTTAATACTGTATTGATAGAACCAACTGATTCTGCAGCAGAGCATCCCCTGTTGCTTCTCCTGGCTGCCCAGTCCCTGAGCTCCTGCTGCTGCACCCACAGATATGTACAGCAAGCACTGATACCTTTTTAGTTGGTGGGATTCCCTTGTGATCACCTTTACGAAATATCTACAACCAATCTGATTATATCCTGTTATTGTTTTTTTTTTTTTTCGATGTTGAAATTAAAATCTAGTAGCAGCCTTCTCATGTCTTTGTGTTTTGTGCTGTTTTACAGGCCCACAGGGGAGGACGGCTCCGAGGCAGATGAGGGACGGGTCCCAGGACGGTCCATCGGCGGTGGAGCTGGCCATCCTGGAGTCCCTGAAGAAGCCACACCAGTCTCCAATGGAGCATTTCCTCCTCAGCCTTGTTCCTGCTCTGGAGAGCAGCTGGTCCTTTTTTATTCCTGTCTCTCTGTAAATTCTTATATTTTATATATTTATGTTTAATGTTTTTCTGTTTAAGACTTTTAATATTATTTCAAATAAATGTTTATAATGACTAATGTCTCAGTTCTACTACACAGCAAATGTTGGCACACGGCTTGACACATGTAGAATTTATTTCATATTATACTAATGACAAAATATACTGATACAGTGGGATGCAGAAGTTTGGGCAACCTTGTTAATAGACATTATTTTCCTGTATAAATCGTTGGTTGTTACAATAAAAAAAATGTGTCAGTTAAATATGTCATACAGGAGACACACACAGTGATATTTGAGAAGTGAAAAGAAGTTTACTGGATTTACAGAAAGTGTGCAATAATTGTTTAAACAAAGTCAAGCAGGTGCATCAATTTGGGCACCACAAAAAAGAAATGAAATGAATATTTAGTGTATATCAATGTGTGTGTCTCCTATATGATATATGGGGTGCCTTTGTCTGGACGTGCTTCCCATCCAGAGCTGCACAGCACAGAGGAAAGTTCCAGCGCTCCTGGAATCCCTCTGTGATGGACCGCCAGTCTCCATTTTGTGTAAAAGTGAAAGTAACACGGACCTAACCCAGAAAAACGAGCCTCCTTCGCTCCTTTATAATCCGCACACAATACTTCATCAGGCATTACATTACAGTCACCTCAATACAGAGAGCAGAAAACTGAATCACTGAATGATAAACTTACCGAGATCTCCGCTTGCTGCTGCCATTATGACGGTTTACCCTGTCCGTTTTTTGGTTGGTTTTTTCCTTTCAAATGAGCAGGAAAACAAAATCTGCATGCCAAAATAAGGCACCAACTACCGGTCTGAATTTTAATCGTATATTTTTAAGTCAAACTTATGCACTCGAGGGGGCGGATTAGGAAAGTTATTGTTATCATTATTGAGCCTTTTCAATAAATAAATGAATAAATAAATAAGGCCAAGGTAAACCATGAAAAGTGCTTCGAGTGCTTTTATTTTTTAAAGTCACATCCGGTGCCAGCAGCACTGTCTAAATTAAGTGCGTCACAAAAAGGACGAAGAGGAGCTCTCTGCTTTAGGTCAGTTTTTCGGTTTGTTTGGTTCTTATTTATTCTAATGTCTTTAACGTGTGCTGTCACTTCTGCAGCTGATCTGAAATCTGTTTTCAACAATTTACCTGTTTTGTTTTCTTAGTTTCTATTGAAGTACTTGATCTTGTCGCTTCTGTCGTCCAACAACCAAAAATTGCACGGAATATATTATATCACATGATAATACGTAGTAATATATTATTGCAGCTGAAGTCGCTTTCAGTTACACTGAGAATCTCCTTGTGTTATTGGGTAAATAATACAGCATCATGTGTTTGATATTCATGCGATTGTTAGGTTTCATTTTATTGCTTTTATTTAAATGACCAGAAAGTAAAAATGAAGTTGTACTAATGTCAGGGACATTAACGTCTCCTGGAAGTTGTTTTTGGACATTGTAGTGAGGGCAAGTTTGTGTCGCTATAAAGAATTGTTTAATATTTGACTTTTAATATCTCAAACAAATCATCAGAATACTTTATTCATCCCCAACCTGCTGATGCCCCAGCATGCCGAGGACAGCACTGGCCACAACAGACTCGTAGAAACCGTGAGCATTCTGTCAGATGTTGAAGGACCTCAGAGACTGAAAATAGAGACGACTCTGGCCCTTCCTGTAGAGTGCGGTGTTTTGGGTTTTTTTTTTTTTTTGACCCAGCCCAGTTTCTATGTGTACTCTGAGGCATTTATAGTCCTCCATGGTGTCCACATCGACCCCCTGAATTGACTGGTGTCAAGCCAGCCTCCAATTCGAGACTTGCAGTCAAGCCAGCCTCCAGTTTTTTTTCTTACGTTCCCCGTGTATTCAAAGTATTACGGGAATGGATGTGGAAACCGGATTTCAAAATAAAAGCCAACTTCGAGTGAATTAACAGATATATAATTTAGGCTTCTTTTTTTTTTTTTTCTATCTGACACAGCCTTGTACCCTAATTGTGCCCTGTCACTATCAAGGCCATCTTATTTTGGATTTCAAAGTAAAAGCCCTGTGAATCTTCATTTTTGAGCTACTCTTTCAATGACTTCATAATGCTCTTAAAAGCAAAAGTCGTATTTCCAAATACTATTTGAACTTTATATCAACACTTTCCAACCACAGTCTTTTTCACAGTAATACCATATCAATATCAAGTCAGTCTGATTTTGCCTTTCATAGTAATGGCCCTTTGAAATTGCCGATATTTGACTTAATCTTCTAACGATTCAAAATGCTCTAAAATGAGCAATTTGAAAAGGCTTTTATTTTGGAAGGCATAATCAGAATGACTTGATATTGATATGGTATCACTGTGGGGCTTTATACTGTTGATCTAAAGTGGAATTACCCTGTGGAAACAGGAATTTTCCATTTTAGAGCATTTTGAAATCACTGAAAGTTAGGTCAATTATGGACAATTTGAAAAGGCTTTTATTTTGGAAGGCATAATCAGAATGACTTGATATTGAGATGGTATTACTGTGGGTCTGTATACCGTTGATCTAACATGGATTCATCCTGTGGAAACAGCAAAATTCTGTTTAAGAACATTTTGAAATCGTTAAAAAAGTAGGTCGTATATGCTCAATTTGAAAGGGCTTTTATTTTGGAAGGCATAATCAGAATGACTTGATATTGATATGGTATCACTGTCGGGCTGTATACTGTTGATCTAAAGTGGAATTACCCTGTGGAAACAAGTATTTTTCATTTTAGAACATTTTGAATCGTTAGAAGATCAAGTCAAATATCTGCAATTTCAAAGGGCCATTACTATGAAAGGCAAAATCAGACTGACTCGATATTGATATGGTATTACTGTGAAAAAGACTGTGGTTGGATAGTGTTGATATAAAGTGCAACTAGTCTTTGGAAAGAACACTTTTGCTTTTAAGAGCATTATGAAGTCATTGTAAGAGTAGTTCAAAAATGAAAATTCACAGGGCTTTTACTTTGAAATCCAAAATAAGATGGCCTTGATATTAACAGGGCGCAATTAGGGTACAAGGCTGTGTCATATAGATCTAACATTAGAGTTTGTAAAAAAAAAAAAAAAGCCTAAATTATATGTTATTATGTTCTTAACATATCTGTTAATTCACTCGAAGTTGGCTTTTATTTTGAAATCCGGTTTCCACATCCATTCCCGTAATACTTTGAATACACAGGGAACGTAAAGAAAAAACTGGAGGCTGGCTTGACTGCAAGTCTCGAATTGGAGGCTGGCTTGACACAAGTCTGAAACGGAACATGGTTCAAAAGCTTTCTGGTCCTCCTGATGTCTACAATCAATTCTTTGGTCTTTCTCATTTTGAGCAGCAATTGATTGTGCTCGCACCATGTGACAAAAGAAAACAAAATTAAACTAGCAAAATTTTTGATCAAAAGGTATGATGCACTGACAGTGTCATCACCACCACAGCGTTAACACAGAGTCATTTTACATACATATCGCAAAGAGGCGAGCTCAGGTTGAGTGAAGGAAAACGTTTTTCTAGCTTCCAAAATGCCCTCCAATCACCATTAAAACTTTTACTGTGAAAAAACTAGAGGGCATCTTTCATCAAAGCATCTGATCAACAAACTCCGACGTGGAGAAAAGCAAACTTTGTAGCTCGATGTATAGCTTTCTGCTCCATCTACCTCTGCCTGTTTTACACAGAGAAAAATCTGCAGCAAGCCTCCAGAATTTGCAATCAAGAATGTAAAACAGGGGTGTCAAACTTAAATGAGCTGTGGGCCACTGCTGGCACTGTCATCTCATTGGAGGCCACTTTAGAATATCCCAGCCATCCCTGGAGGTTACTGCCAGATCCTGTCGCAGAAAAACCAGGTCCAGCACAGGTGACTCCTTGCACCCCGCCCACCACCTGTTTGATCTGCTGCCCTCTGGGGCCTCAGCTTCGTCCCCTTTTGGGTTGTTAACAAACACCACACTACTTGGTACTTTTATATCACCTTTCTACTAAATTTTGAACCCTCAAAGCACGTTTTACTACCTGTCTTATTCACATAATCACATATAATTCATATAATTCTTTTATCTATCTCTAAGCACTTCCAGCTAACATTTACAGACTATCTGATGGATCCATTTGGGGGCAAGTTGGGGTTCAGGATATTTTGACATGTGCTAGAGATTGATCCACCTACCTTCCATTTAAACAACCTAATTCACAGCTGTACCACTGTGGTGAAGAGAGAGCTGAGTGTAAAAGCGAAGCTCTCAATTTACCGTTATCTACGTCCTTACCCTCACCTATGGCCACGAGCTGTGGGTAGTGACCGAAAGAACGAGATCGCAGAAATGCGCTTCCTTTGAAAGGTGGCTGGCCTCTCCCTTAGAGATAATGTGAGGGGTTTGGCCATCTGGTAGGCGCTACTCCTCCACATTGATTAGGGCATTTGACAAGGATTCCTCCTGGACACCTCCTAGGTGAGGTGTCCTGGGCATGTCCCACCAGGATACCAGGAGGCTCCGAGGCACACCCAGGACACACTGGAGAGATTTTATCTCTTGGGTGGCCTGGACAAGGTGGAGGAGGTGGCCGGGGAGAAGGAGGTCTGGGTTTCTCTACTTAGGCTGCTGCCCCTGCGACCCAGCCCCGGATACTGCCCTGTGTTTGGAAGCTGATAAAAAATCTTTCTGCTTTCAGACTTGTTGGAGCTTCAGGGCCTGTGAAATTGTACAATTGATGTTTTCTGTTTTCTCCTGCAGATTTGCTGATGTTCAGACATGGATCAGAGTCTCACCATCATTCTTCTTGGACACACTGGGACTGGGAAAAGTGCATCTGGAAACACCATTTTAGGAGAGGCGATGTTTGAGTCTAGATGTGCCTTAAAATCAGTTACAACTGAAATCTCAGAGAAAAGTAAAGTTTTGTTTGGGAAACAGATCTCAGTAATTGACACTCCAGGAATTTTATGTGATGGATCAGAGGAGAAAATAAAAACTTTCTTTCAAGAACGGCTTCAGTCCTTCAGAAATGTTTTGTTCCTAGTAGTAATTAAAATTGATCGATTCACCGATGAACAAAAACGTGCTGTCGAGGCAGCAATGGAAGTCATTGGGGATCAGGAACTGAAGAACAGCTTTCTGCTCTTCACCAGAGGAGATGACTTGGACAATATGACCTTAGAGGATTTTATCAATGAAGACCCACAAGGTTCACTCCCACCACTTGCTGAAAAGTTTGGAAGACGGTACCATGTGTTCAACAATAAGGAAGGAGGACAGAAACAAGTCGAAGATCTGCTTCAGAAGTGGAATGAGCTTCACAACAGGAACCAACATTACCATTCACAAGGTAATAAGTTACAATTAAATAGTAGGTAAATGGTTAAAATTGCGTTCTTTTCCAACTCTTCACTGCATATGAAAATGAGGAGTGTGAGAATTATTCAATTCTTGCAAGTGTGTCTTGGCTCTCTCTGCAAATTAGTAAAGTATGAACAAATTTAGGTCCAAAATTATTGATAAATCACTGATTTGTCATTAAAAACATTCATAAGCAAAATTTTACTCATAGATCTGTGGTTTCTTCTAGGGTTGTCACATTAGAATTTCAAACTTCATACGAACAGCTAGGAAAATACTGATGTTATATACCATGGGAAAAAATTAGTGCGAGTTATTCTCCACACTCTGGAGTCTCTGCTCAGTTCAGGTACGC